ATCTGGGTGTGGTGAGTAAGATGCCCAAGGCACAAAATTTAACAACATTGTCACTCCCAGCAAGAAGCTAAGAATGGTGCTTCCTTGTACTTCCTGTCTCTGCCTCACCTCAGTCCAGCCCTATCCAGGTACCTAGGGGCTCTCGCTCTCTCTCTCTCTCCTCTTTCTCTGTCTCTCTCTTGTCTTTAGATCCTTTTCTTGTAGGCAGTGATTTCACTAAAAATATAAGCTACTATTATTTTTATTGTCACGGCCAATGATCCAGAACTCGACTTTTTTAACAGCTTTAGTCACATATTCTTTATATAACATAAAACGCACACATTTAAAGTGTACATTTCTATCACTTTCAGAATGTTGAATTATAGAATCATCAGATCAGATTGTTTTTAGTACTCCATAACACAACTGGATTTTGAGAAATGAAAAACTAAAATAACTTTAAGCCATGTCTTGGAGGAAAGGCCAAGAACCCAACAGGAAAGACCAAATCCTGACACCCTGCAAGGAGCTTGCACAGAGCATAAGCAAGCAATGAACACAGTGTCAGAGGCATGAGGAAACAGGTCAGAGGCATGCGGAAACAGGATTGGAGAAAAGTTGATAGAAGAAAGGGAGATTCAGACACCGACAGTAAGAGAGTATGTCTGGCACCACACACAGTCTGTAGGCCAGACTGACTCACAGCCACACCCTAACCCAGGGCTGACACAGCCAGCCAAGGGTTGCCCCAGATTTCTACACTCTAAAATGGCACTTGGTCAATGTTCTTTTGGTTACTTTTCAGATATTTCCTAAGTTCTCCAGAAGTGAGGGGTTACTTTTCCCTTCAAGCTCCAGCTACCATGCTGTCTGTCTGCATCCCTTTCTATATATTCCTTGGAAAATGCTGACCTGTCCACACATCAATCCTTATTGTTTCTTCCATCTCTTAATCCATACTGTTATTCTGTGTTGCTCTTAAAATCTCTTCCTACTATCTCAAAATAAATTTCCCATTCTGTTAGGGCTATTTCCTTAATACCTTTTCCCAAATGCCAACATAGGTACTTTCCTAAAATCCTACAGTATATAACCTAGGCCTTCAATATATATATATATATATATATATATATATATACATTAAAGGAAGTCCTTTGATCTGAATGGAAATGATGCCAAATATCAGTTTGGATCGAAATAAAGAATATAAAGAAGAGAATAAGAACAGTGAATAAGAAGGTACATATAAAGGAATGTTTTTCTCAGATTTAAATCAGATAAAGATATCAATCTAATATGAATCTTTCATGTAGACATAAAACGTTATATTTAGAGGATTGAAGAAGTTAATAGTATAAATAGAATTCTGTTACAAAATTCTCATACATGAATTGGTATAGTGAATATATAATATACATAATATTATTCTTGTTACTGTATGGTAATAACACTATTACTTAGACTGATCAGTTACAGATACATATTTTAACCTCTTTGGCAACTATTTAAAAGAGGTCTATTAAAAAAAAA